TAGTGTTTAAATATATTAATGTAGGTCTCTCGAACAGGCTCTAGTATACGCTCGAGCTAATTAGGGTCTATGCTATTAGGGGGCACAGGTTTATCGTTATTACTACCGAGTAGGTCGGCAGTTAGATTAGCTAAGGCGGGTGTTAAGTTGCTAATAAACAGGACCCTAATATCGTTAGGGCACTCGCTAATATTAATGTATTTAATGTCCTCTTTCTTAGCGATTCTAAATCGCTACTGTTAAAGGCCTAGGTCTATAACTATAGCGTAGTACTTAAGAACAGGGTTGCTAATAATAATATCGGAGGGGAGGCTGTCTATATCTACCGTATAGGTAGTAAAGTCTAGTAGGCGTTTATTTCCGAGGTCGTCCTTTAGAACTGTAGGAATGTAGTAGGCCCTATAGGTTAAGTGCCGAGCGTTATTAAACTAAGCAAGGGTTAGTAGGTTAGTCCTAGGCAATTGTCGAAGGTCTAATTACTTAGCTAGGCGATAGCTAATAAGGGCGCTAACTGAATTTCCTAGATCTAGTATAGCCTTAGTCTTATAGTTGGTTCTATGCGTGTCCGATACGAGATAGGTACGTATAATAGCTAGTACAATGTCGATAGTCTTACGCCGCACAAGGCTAATAGTTAGTGCGGCGCTTATTCCTTTTTCGAAGGTTAGCCTATAGGGGTAGCGTTAGCTACTAAGAGGTGCTTTCGGTACTTAGCGGTAGCACGGTCGACTCGGGCCTAGTCTCGAGGTCTATTATATTAGCCTAGTAAATGAGTAGTGCTATTATAATTGAAGCACTTGTATCTAGTTAGGGCACTACTAGGTCTGCTCGAATTAGTACTAGAATTAGATAAACGATTAGGGGTATATAGAAATAAGCCCCTTCCTTATCCTCTTCCTCGCTAGGGGTTTCTACCGCGGTATCGGCCCCTGCCCCTTCTACGTTAGTCGTTACTATTTCTATTGTTAGCAGTGTTAGTTTAGGGAGTACCTCCTTAGTTTCTACCGCGGCTACGGTTAGTAGATAGTCGTATCTTAGATTCTAACCGTTGCTATAGCTATACTATACGCTCCGCAGTTTCCACTTCGATTATAAATTAAATTCGTATAAGATTAGCCTATTCGAATATACGGCGGCAGTCTAATTTAAGGACAAGCTCCTACCTTAGTTTAGGGCGTATTTCGGAGATCTATATAGAGTCGGTTTTAGCCGGAAGGTTATCTTCGAGGGTCTTTAAATAGGCTTTAAATAAGCGAGCCGATTAATTAGTCTTCTGTTTAGCTCGAAGGTACTAGTCCTAAGTATATTGTTGCCTTAGTATAGGGTTTCTAAGGGTGTTTAGTATAACGGTCTTGTAGTCTTGCTATTAAATAGCGGTCTAGTCGTAAAGGGAATTAAAATAGTTATCCTATATACGCTTTAGGTCGCTATTAATGTACTATATAGCGTATACGACTAAGGAATAGTCGTCTAGTAGCGCTCTTAGTGCGTTACGCTAGTTAAGCTTATAGTTACGAATATAGTCGTTATACTGCTTTCGGCTAGAGCTATTAAATACGGTATAGTCCTTAAGCTTAGCATCCTTCTTTTAAATTAGGACTAATAGTAAGGAAGGCCCTATTGTCGGCTTAGTGTTAGTTATTAGGGCTTCCTATAGGCGGCGAATCTCGAGGAGATTATCCTTTAGCTATTATTCTTAACGTAGGGCAGTAAGCCTGTTTTAAGTAGCTTCTTAAAGTCTCGCTACTAGCTAGGGCCTAAAGGCTAGCTAGCTATATCGTCGATTGACAATATTATTAAGTATATCGTTAATAGGCAACTCTAGGTCGTTACCTAGAACTATAGGTTCTTCGGCAGGCCTAGTAGTAGGTTCTTTAGCAGGTAGCACTTTAGTAGGTGCTTTAGTAGGCACTTTAGTAGGTACTGTGCTACTAGCGTTATCGTTGCTAGCGCTGCTAGCGGTAGCACGGTTATTGTTTCGTAATAAACCGGCTATTATAGGGGGCGGCACTAATAATATATTATTAGCCCCTAAGATGCGGATATAGCGGAATTAGTAGATATCGGCCTAGTATGCTTAACTTAGTGTAATAGGCCGTATAGAAGGCCTTGCTTAATAATTAGTACGGTTGTTTCGATAGAATAGTACGTATAGGTCCCGTTCTTCGGGCGCAATATAGTTAGATTAGTCTTGTTCGTAGCTATACCGCTAAAAGCTTGAAATAAGGACTATCTAGCTACTACCCTTAAAGGGTAGATCGAATACTATATAAGAAGGGTACGTTAGCAGGTAGATAGGGTAGTAGTAAATTAGTATAGTATTCGATAGAGAACTAGGAGGAGAAGGAGGAAGGTAGGCTAGTTAGCCTAACGCTAAGCGCTAAGCCCTGCCTAAGGCACTAAGACCCTAGCTTTACTCGGCCTAATTACATACTAATTACGTGTAGCCTCTTTAGCCCTAACATTATATTAGGCTTATTATTATCGGTATCGCCTATAGCTTATAGAGCGGTATTAGCACTAGCTTTACCTATTTCTTCGTAGATAATACTAAAAGATAGACCCTTCTTTATAGAAGTACCTAGTATATTGCGGGCATAGTCGCGTACTATACTAATTAGTTAATAGAAGTTATTAACTATTAGCCCTACCTAGTATATTATATAGAGCCCTTTGCTATAGGTCTTATCTATATTTGTAACTATAGTATATAGGTAGGTTACTAGGTTATTAAATTCCGGGTATTATATACGCTTTATAGTCTTATACAGGTTAAGCTATTCCTCGTACTAGCACTCGGGGTCCTTTACCTACTTAGAATTTATAAGGCGGTATAGCTCCTTACTAAGAGCAGTTCTTTACTATTAAGTATTAGGTATAAGCTTATCTTTTAATCGAGTTAGGATAAGCCGTATAGTTAGTGCTATATTGTCTATATCAGAATTAGCAATCTCTAAGTAATAGCGGATATCTATAGTTATAGCTAGATATTCGATTGTCTTATTACGTACTATTCTAAAGCGTTTAAATTCCGTCTTCCTTATATTAAAGTGTTCCTTAGTAAGCTTTGTACCGGCCTAATATAGGGGGTTAGTTATAAGTTACTATATATCGAATTCCGGGAGAAGGGGTTATATAAGTTTAGTAGGCTCGGTCGAGTACGGATTAGTAAAGACCTAGGTCTTATATCTAGTTAGGTACGTCTTAGTTTACTTAAACTATCGATCCTATTCGTTAGGTCTACGAAGGATAATAAGCTTGCTACTACTAGGGCGACTAGCTAATAAGAGAGCTATTATTAAGGATATATTAACTTTAAAGCGATTATAGAGGCTTATAGAAGCTTAAATAGTTGTTTTCGTAGTACCGTTAAGACTATCGATTATTAAAGATCTCGTAGAATGAAAATTCTTTCCTACTATAGAAGTCTCTAATACCGCGGATTAAATCCGGGCTTATAACTATTATATATAGCGTAGTAGATTACTTATATAATACTATATTACTAGCGGTTAAATTAGCTTTGTTAATTGCCTATATTCTATCTATTCTCTCGTCTAAAATACAGTGTAAAAAATTCTTTAAGCCAAGAAGTTACGTACCTGTCATGTGACTGAGCTAACGCGTCACATAGGATTAGGACCTCTCTAGCTTTCGGCGCGTCGCTGCCAAGCGAAACTCTGCCTCACCCAACTTCCTCCTTCCTCCTTTCCTCCTTCCTCCTTCCTCCTTCCTCCTGGCTTCTACCCGCTGTGACATCACTTCAGATTGGCGCCCTACACAGCATTGATGGAAGAGACACACACTTCGCCGTCAGAGCTCTCGACAGTCACGGCCCTGGAGCCCCATTAGACCGGGTCATTCTGGCCACCTTCCCACCCTGCATATCGCGACCGGAGTTCTGAGCCCAATATTGACCTCAACATTGCAGGCCGTACAGCGCAGCATTACGCCTCAGGAGCCAGCTGGGCCTTGACGACATGATACGACGCACTCTGTGATGGCCATTGAGGCGCACACTGGAAGTTGCCTGCTAACATCTTGTATGCTGAGGGCTGAGTTCTTGACGACCTTGCAAATGCCAAATTCTCCACGACCTGAGCGCTGTCGATTCTCCTCTCGTCGACCAATCCCATGCCAAAATCGTGCTTGAATCGCTGTTTCGTCTCTGGGCCCTATTCGACTTCGGCGAAATTCGGCACGTACGGCGGGATGCTCTCTCGCCTTTGGAGCCTCAGTCTGTAGCAGCCGGAATGGAGACATCTGATCATGGTGCGAATTCCACGGCTCTTAGGCGTCTGCAGGAAGAGAATCGCCTGCCTGGGACACTGTGATGCAATGAGCTGATTTCTTGCAGATGTGGCAATGCTTCACGAATGCTCCGTTACGTCGTGCTCTTTTCTTCAATGTGTCTTCGAGTCCCTCTCAGCTACCCTCTCAGACACTCTCATCACTTCCATCCACCCGTCTGTATGTATTGTCGAAGATGGCGGAGACCAAGTCCCTTGGAGCCCCGTAGGGGACCAGCATCCTATGTGCTTGGTCCCAACTCCTGGCAAGCGGCTAGCACATGGGCTTTGTCTAGATACCGCCTCTGTTCCGCATGCCCATGACACGTGAGTCCAAAGTACTCCTGTTCGATCGTAGGTCCATAGATGCGGTTCCCAATTTGTGTGCGGTTTGCGTATGCATGCGGAGCCGATCAATGCCGAATCCCTGCCGCTTGTCATAAGCAACACATATTGTCGACCTACCATCAAGAGGGGTAAGCTAGCTACACCATTTGAGCGGTTAAAGAGGAGATCTCTGAGCCGAATCAGGCATTCGCTGATACCAGAAACGCTTTCACACCACTCACCAGGCATGCGACCTTTCACCCCTCCATGCACGCGGCACCGCACCGAACCCGCATTATGGACTTCGCAAGCCATTTTCCAGTGCATAAAGAACACGTCTTCTCGAGGAGCCAGATTAGCTGCCTGTACACAACCACATGAGCAGCTCTACTCCAGCAATTCGAGCAAAAGACAACGCAACAACCATGGGTACTCCGGGCAGCATCACCAACCCGAAGCTCAAGACTCAGCTTTGGGAATATGGCAAGCGTAGAAGAACAGATGGGCCGTATGCAGACAACCTGGAAGTCGATGCCCTTGTCGTCGGAGGTGGCTTTGGAGGTGTCTTCTGCTTTCACTCTTTACGCCAAGCAGGTCTGAACACGGTGTGTTCATGATGAGCGATATCATTGAGAACTTACTGACACCTGTAGGCAATCTACGAAGCTGGCACGGATCTTGGAGGAACATGGCGATGGAATTGCTATCGTCAGTGGATATCACCATGCTTATCACCCATATCAGACTGATAAGAATCCAGCTGGAGCCATGGTCGACTCTGAAGTTCCCGAGTACCAACTCTCAATTCCTGAAACATGGAAGACGTACGTGCTCGGGTTCCAGGCATGTAGAGAGAGCTCTTGCTAAGTTTCCCAGATACAACTGGCCAAATAATTATCCAACGTATCGAGAGCTCAGAGACTACTTCGACCATTGCGACAAAGTCCTGGATATCAAGAGTCACACTGCGTTCGACAGTGTGGTTGTTGGTGCTGAGTTCGACACCGAAGCAGGCAAATGGCATGTCAAGACTGCAGATGGCAGGACTGCGAAGACCAAGTACCTTGTCATTGCCGCCGGATTTGCGGCAAAGCGATACGTTCCCGATTGGCCAGGCCTCGAAAAGTTCAAGGGTTTCGTGTCTCATTCGTCGTTCTGGCCCGACGATGAAATCGATGTCAAAGGGAAGCGTTGTGCAATTATTGGGACAGGTATGGAGTGTCGGCCCACGTCTCTCTCACGTCACTGACTCACGTTCTTCCCACCAGGCGCCTCTGGCGTGCAAATTACTCAAGCATGGGGCCCGACCGCTGGCCAGTTGAAGGTGTTCCAGCGCACACCTAACCTGACTGTACCAATGCGTCTCCGAAACCTTACAGTCGACGAGCAAACTGAAGGCAAGAAATGGTACCCAGAACTGTTCGACCTACGTACGTCCCACTCTTCATCAAAATACTTCGTGAACTTCACTCACATGATCAGGCGAGCGATGCTTCGGCGGCTTCCTTTACGACTTCTCCGAGAAAATGACCTTCGAAGACAGCCCGGAAGAACGCGAAGCCTTCTTCGAGAAACTTTGGTCCGATGGCGGTTTCCGTTACTGGCTGGGCAACTACAAAGATTACCTCTTTAACGCCAAAGCCAATCGTGCAGTTTACGACTTCTGGCAGAAGAAGCAGGCCCTTCGACTGAAAGATGCACGCAAGCGCGACATTCTCGTACCAAAGGAGCCACCGCATCCATGGGGAGTCAAACGTCCATGCCTTGAATATGGATATTTGGAGCAATTCAACCGAGACAATGTCGATGTTGTTGACATCCGCCACAACCCCATCCAGGAGTTCAATGAGAACGGTATCAAGCTTTCCGATGGTACTCAGCATGACTTCGATGTCATATGCATTGCTACTGGCTTCGATGTTGTCACCGGTGGCATGACTGCTATGGGTCTCAAAGCTCTCAATGGCGAGCAATTGGAGAAACAATGGAAGAAGGCGGCTTACACCTACCTCGGCACCACTGTGGCTGGATATCCCAATATGTTCCATCTATATGGACCACGTAAGTCGGATCACTCTCCTACGGGGTTTGTGCATACTAACACCATCCGCAGAGGGTCCAACTCTCCTTTCCAATGGTCCAACTTCAGTCGAAATCCAAGGCCGCTGGATCACCGACGCAATCAAACTTTGCGAGCGTAATAACATCAAATACATCAACCCAACCGATGCTGCCAGCAAGGACTGGAAGCGCAAGATCAATGCTTTGAGTGACAGATCTCTGTTCCCAACGACGAAATCGACGTGAGTTCAGTCAAACGTGGCATCGATACAAAACATGACTGACACATATCACAGATACATGGGCGGCAGCTTGCCTGGCAAAGCCTTCGAACATACTTGCTATGCCGGCGGCATGTACAACTATGCTCAGGAGATCAGAAGTGTCTTGCCACATTTCGAAGGATTTGAAGTCGTCAAGAATTGAACACATGGGCAATCGCTCTCCAATTGAAACGTCGTCTAGCTCATTACGATAGCTCGTTTGATTTCGCCGTGCAGCCAAGGCTTACTTCTCCTTCTTCGCTTCTTTAGTCTCCTCCGCCTTACCATCATTCTCGGCTTTCTTGGCTTCGGCCTTGTCATCCTCCTTGCCTCTCAGTGGGATATCAGCCTTCTCCTCGGCCTTTGATCCCTCCGTTTCTTCTTTCTTCTCTGCATCTACATATTAGTCAGCTGTCACATGCCTCAACACTCTGCATCAGAAACACTCGCCAGGCTCCAGCCTATTCTCCATAGATGCGTCTACCCCGTCATCGCCCTTTTCAACAGTATCCTCCACCTTGCCACCCTCTTCGTTCTTGCCGCACGAACAGGCGCGATCTGTCGCGCCATCGAGCTTCTCGCCTTTCTTCGAAACGATGACAGTCTTATCTGCTTCGTCATCATCGGCCGCATATTCAGCATGCTTAGCTTTCTCCTCGTTCTTCACTATCATAGAGTTTGAATAATGATTATTCAGTATTCAGTGTATTCAGTATTCAATCTGAATATGAATTTGAATATGGATCTACTAAATACGACTGAATATCAAGTATTTACTAGGCAATACGTCGGCGCATATAGATCCTATATAGATATCCGAATTTGTAGTGTTTTAGGCTCTTTCTTTATACAATACACTTTCGAGGATAGGCGGCAAACGCGTAGAAGTAATCGAGGTAGAAGAAGGTTAATATTGTTGTAAGAATAGTAGTGCTAAGTCGTACGCAGTTATTAGACTCCGAGTCTAAAGGCTCGTTGTCGCTAATATTGCCGCCGCTACTAATAACACTACTGCCGCTAGTAGTCGAGCCTATTGTCAAGACTGAGCCTAAAATCAAGCGTAACTATACACTAGAAGAAGAGCCTATTGCTAAGAGGCTTCGGTAGAACCCTAGGAAGACGTTAAAGGCACTACAGTAGCTCGAAGACTAGTCCGCCAAGATAAGGGCTTCCGAGAAGGCTATTAAAGGCCTTAGCAAGGCTTATCGAGACCTTAGCAAAGAATACTAGGCTATTAAGCACCGACTGATCGTAAAGAACGCTAAGCTCGATATCTACGCGAAGAAGGCGAGCGCTTTCGAGGAGTATATTCGAAAGGAGGGTAACTATATACTAGTGTATCTAGTAGACTATCGGTACGAGGTATGTCGTAATCGGATTCGAATAGTAGAAGAGAGGGCGAGGCACTTTAGGCATACGGATCCGTATAGTTGTAACCTATATATACTGCGTAGCGGCGAGGATTGTAAGTTTAAGGAAGAGCTCGCTACGTAGCGCGCTCGTAATGCCTTAGCGGTAATAGCGGTGAAGAAGGAGTGTATTAGTAGTATTGTTGTAAAGGAAGAAGATAGATTATAGAAGGTGTTAGTTGCTTCCGTAGTGCCGTATATACTATTGCTACTTGTTTAGGGTCCTATTGCGTTATATAAGGCTTAACGTAGCCTAATTATCGTATCCGGAAAGTATAACCGAGAGCGGTCCGTTAACGGGCCTTTCCGGCCGTATAGCTTTAGTAAACTCAAATTCTTTAAATCTACACTAATAATTATACCTCGACGACAAACTCCGCTATAGTTAACCTCCGTACTATCTATAAATTGATATAGAAAGCGCAGGAAAATTTGCTAAATAGCTAAGCATCGCAACGGGAAAACAACGAGCCTCGAAAGCGGAAGTATAGTAATAGCGCTAGCGATAAAAGCGACAGCGACCTTAGCGAAGTGCTAAATCCGACCCTAATCGCTATATTATCTACTAACTCGCAATCGACTCAATCTACGCAACAATTAATAGTACCTATACTACGAGTTCTTATACCCCTACCGGCGCCTAGTATAAAGAGAAAGAAGCAGAAAGAGCCAGATCCGGAGGTAGTACAATACCTAAGAAGGCCGTACGAATAGGAAGACCTACAAATAGACGACTATAGATATATAATTTGGTACTGCAAGTTTGAGCTATACTATAAGGTTGTAGGCGAGCTAGATTTAGGACAATAGTACGGTGTTATAAGCAATTGCGACTATTACCTATAGCGTAGACACACTCTGCCTGTTAGCAAGTATAAGGATAAGGACAAGGACAAGAACCGCTATTAAGGCGATATTCGGGTAGTAATAGCTTCTTAGGCTTTACGGAAGGTATTAATAGAAGAGACGAGGGCTCGCAATATCCTATATAACGCTACTAGAACACAGCAATATCGTAACGCACTCGCCGCCTTCTCCTCTAAGTACTATATCGCCTTTAACGCCTTAGTTTCTACCGCCTTCTATAGGATAATACTAGCTGTTAACCCCGAGGCTTCTTACGTCCTTCTATACGCTAAGTCCGCTCTACGGTCTCGAGTCTTCCGTAACTTCTATAATATGCGCGATTAAGTAATAGAGATAATAGCTACTACTATTAGCTCGATTCACTTCTATATAGATACGTAGAAGTCGCAGTATAGCTATAAGTACTTCTAAGCTATTAACTGCTAGTTTGTCGATAAGAATAGCCGATTACAATAAGTACTTCTCGACCTGCCGGTTGTCGTTATACGCTATACTAGTGCTAAGCTCGCATAACTGCTTATTGACGTCTTTAAGTAGTACAATATTGTCAATAATATTAGCTAGATTACAAGCGACAACGTTACCTCTAACGATACCTTAATACGTAAGATTGAGCGCTTCCTTTACTCTTAAGGCGTTATCGGCTAGACTAAGAAGTCGCGGAGGCTTCGCTATATTAAATACATTATTAACCTCGCAATATAAGCCTTTATATTCTTAGAGTCTATAGAGTCCGCTAAGATGGCATTTAAGAAGGCGAAGAATAACGAGCGTGCCTTTATTGAATAGTAAACAGCCGCTTACAATGCCGCCGAAGGTACTGCCGATACGATATCTATCTCCGCTTAGCTAGATATTGACGTTGCCTCGTTTGCTAAACAAGAAGCCCTTTAGAAGCTATATAACCTGTTACTCCGTCTACGAGACGACGTTCTATAGGCTACATTTAAATTCCTCGCTAGGTCCGCCGTTACTGCCGCCGTGCTAAAGACGCCTAGTAAGACTCGCTAGAATGGTTAGCTATTGCTTATAGAAGAAGCTATTGCGGCAAAGCTAATACTGCAATTGCTATTCGAGCGAGAGCCTTTACTATAAAACATAGCGCTTTCCGACTCGGACTAGATAGTTATTAAATATACGCGTAACTTCCTTTATCCCTTTAAGGAGGTTACTATACGGTTATAGGGCTATCGCTATACACTAGACAGCTTCTAAGAAGCTATAAAATACTTTGTTAACTATTACGAGAAGTCGCTTTAGTACTATTAATATAGGCCGGCTATTACAAAGTTAATCCTTGTCTCTTAGCTCCTATTTAACAAATACTATCGACTTATTAACGAGTCTAGAGCCTACGTTGTAGCACTATTGCTATACCCTTCAAAGCGACTTACCTAGCTTAAGAAGCGCTGGACTAGTAACAAGAAGGCGGACTAGTTACAGCTAGCACTCGAACGAGCGAGGTCGCTATAGTAAGAATATAAGGACAAGTTCAACTACTCGTTAGCTTAGTAACAAGCGCTAACCGCAGTTATAGAGCTTACTAGCTTCGAGTCGTAGCAACAAGAAGCTAACGTTGTTAATGCTATAACTAACGAGTTTAATAGCTTTATATATGCCGCCGCTAGTCTACTGCCTATCGAGAACAATAGACGGTTAAGTCTACTAGACTAGTAGCTATTGCTAGCATAGCGGCAAGCCTAGCCTTTACTCTCTCGACTAGCAATTAACGTATTGTCCGCGTTTGCTATATCCGCTAAGAGTAAGCGTACCTTTAGCTTCGCAAGGCGTACGATTATATAGGACCGAAGCCAACTCGATAGTAAGACAGTGCGAGTACTTAAGCCTTCTAAGCAGTAGTAGAAGGCTAGCATTGTAGAGCTACTGTCTAGTTTAGTAGACGACGATAAGCCGGAAGACTTAACCGATACGCAGTACTATATAGTAGGCGCCTTACAGTAATACCGATAGTATTATTATTACAGTATCTATAGCAAAAGTATATATATAATAGATTGATAGACACTACCCTCGTAATAAGGTAGAAGGCGACAATCTTTAGCAATATAGTGTAGTAAACAGTACGTTAACTAGCTATAGTTAAAGACTAAGGTTCAATTCCTTATATTGCCCTTTTCTTTTGCTATTCTACTGCTATTTTTTTGCTATTCACCTTCCTTTTGCTAATTATATACAAATTGACCTCCGCGGAAGACTGAATATTGAATATTTACCTAAATATAGGCCGTTGCTATATTTAGAATATTAAATATAGGCGCTACTAACTGAATAATCATTATTCAAACTCTATATTCACTATAGAATCATACTCGAGAGCCTTCTTATCGAGCTTTAGATCCTTAGTCTTAAGCTTCGAGTACGAGGGTTCCTAGTTCTCTTACTTGCTACCGTAGTCCTCTTTTTTATATGTAGACTTATCTAAAGCAGGTTTATAACGGTTGATATTGAAAGCGTTAAGGTTCTTTTCCGTAAGAATAGGCATTTCTCTTCTTGCTTGCAGTAAGTTAGAAGGTGTTTGTAAGAATTGTTCAGTTCGATATTGTAGTAAGGATTGTGCTATCGTGCCAAGTACCCTAGAGAGCTGTTTCATTCTTCTTATACCGTTCCTTCTATCGGCATCATTTCCGGACATGTTCGCTACTGCCTTAATGTTCTTAGTCTTTGCTATACGATGTGTAGTAGACAGATTAAGAAGAAATGGTTTCGCAATAGGTTTACTTACATGCTAAAACTTGAAACGTTTTAGTACACAGGACCAATTCCTCTACGTTCGTTAGGGACTTTCTATGAAATCGAAGGGGAAGTGTATTCTAATCCTGCTAATTTGGTATGGTCGATGCGCAAGCTTAGGCGCTAAGATCTGTTAAGTTATATGTCTCGTTCGAGGACATCCTAGCCTGCTAGCGTTAATGCTCTACTAGAAAACTATCATTCGAGCAATAAGATTGTTTTTATTTCAGCAGCTAACTACATAGCAGCTAGCTACTACCTTGTCTGCTATTTATCAACTGCTATAGAGGAGTTACCCGGTACCGGCAGCTCGTTAAGGGAGTCGAACCCTTCTACTATCGCTCCCCTATATACTGTCTTCCGTCGATAGTAATTAGCACCGCACCTACTTAATTTAAGGGAAGAGCGTACGAGGACTGGAATACTACGCTACCTTAATCCTATATAATCCTTTCTAAATCTAACAACACTAAAGCCTAGAAGGGCCCTCTAGTAACATGCACCTACTAAAGGATCCGAGGCTCCCGTCGGATCCTAACCTGCTTCGGTTCCTACCCCTAGAGTTGCTTAAAGGTCTTCGCGTTATACTTCTTTCCTATATACTTGTTAGTTAAGTAGGCTATCCGATTAACGTAGACCTGTTTCC